CCCCCCCCCCCCCCCCCCCCCGGGAAGGTGGGCCCGTCTTCAGATTAGAGGTGCTGCAAAGAGACTCGGGATTGAACCGTCGACCTCAGAGTTTCAGTGTCGAGAGAAAAACCAGTCCAGCAGAGGTGTTGTGGGTCCATCTCATCTCGTGCCCCTCCCCTCCAGGTTCTGTTGGTGGTTCTGTTTGGGACCGCAGCTCCTCACCGACTCTCCAACCACACTCCTACAAACAGATCAGATAATCCAGATTAATAAAATAATCAACATGGGATTCATTTAATTTAACAGGTTTTCAAGAGTTTAAAAAGGAATCTGTAAGAATGATAAACAGATTATATTCAGATTACAGTCAGATCACAGCCTGGTTAAAGTCAGATTATGTTCCGATCATAGCCTGGTTACAGTCAGGTTACAGTCAGATCATAGCCTGGCTACAATCAGATTATGTTCAGATTACAGTCAGATCACAGCCTGGTTACAGACAGATTATATTCAGATCATAGCCTGGCTACAGACAGATTATATTCAGATCATAGCCTGGCTACAGTCAGATTATATTCAGATCATAGCCCTATTACAGTCAGATTATATTCAGATCATAGCCCTATTACAGTCAGATTATATTCAGATCATAGCCTGGTTACAGTCAGATTATATTCAGATCATAGCCCTATTACAGTCAGATTATATTCAGATCATAGCCTGGTTACAGTCAGATTATATTCAGATCATAGCCTGGTTACAGTCAGATTATATTCAGATCATAGCCTGGTTACAGTCAGATTACAGTCAGATCATAGCCTGGTTACAGTCTGATTATATTCAGATCATAGCCTGGTTACAGTCAGATCAAAGCCTGGTTACAGTCAGATCAAAGCTTGGTTAGTCAGATAATCCAGATTATTCAACACATGATTTTATAGATTTTCAAGAGTTAAAAGGAAATCTGTTTGTAGGGGTGATGAGCAGATTATAGCCTGGTTAATCAGATTATGAATATATATTATAGATTAYACAATTACTGTCCAACTACAGCTTACTAAATTTAGCCCAATTAGAGCCCGACTGCAGCAGGGCTGCAGCAGATTAATTGGTCCTAACCAGATTAAATTTGTTTAGCCAGTTACACTCCAGCAGTCACTCAATTACATCCTGAGTTCAGCTGGATTATAGCTGGATTATCACCCAGCTAAAGAAAGAATATTTCTGTTGTGTCCAGATTATAATCTGGTATCTGGATTGTCTGCAACAGACCAGCCACCTGCTGCTGCTCATTCCAGATATATTTCATGTTTATTTTAAAGATCTGTTTAGATTTGGGGGGGATTCTGTTGAAGACCCTCAGCTGAGGGGAGCTTAGAGGACAGTCGAGGTGCTACAGGTGTTTCCCATCACGAAACACCAGGATCAAACCTAAACCCACCTGTAGTCTTCAGGTCAGGGTGGGGCTTAGACTGGGTGGCCTGGAGGTGGTGAGGGGCGGGGTCACTCTGAGGCAAAGGGAACCTCTGGAGGGGGGGGTTTGATGGTGACAGGCTGGGACGTTCGGCGGGGGGGCGAGGGTTTGGGCTGAGCCTGCTGCTGCATCGTGTCGTAATACGTGACGCCGCCGTAGGTCACCTGGGACTGCCCCTGGAGCACACACATGGTTTCACACTTAGATTTAAAGGAAAATGGCGCCCCCTGCAGGTGACGACAGCAGCAGCTTACCTGTGGGTTTGGGTACATGGTGGGATATGGAAAGGTTACAACCCCAGGGGGAGGGTAGAAAGGAGGAGGCAGCAGCTGCTGTGGTTGCCCCGGTGACAAAGAGACAGGCGGAGCTCCGTAGAGGGCGGGGTTAGCGATAGGGCCGCCCGATTGGTGGGGATGGAGACCTGCAGAGAAGCAGCAAGATGAATGTTTGATGTTTTTTTTTTTTTTTTTGATCAGTTTTAAGTTTGAGGACTCTGACCAGGATGGGGGATATGCATCTCAGGCTGGACCAGCATCCCTTGGGGCGGTATGGGGGCGGCGCCGTCTCCATGAGTGTAGATTGGTCCCTGGTACGACACTGACACACAGACAAAGGAGGTCATTCAGAAGAGAAAGAAGCAGCTGGACACAGTTTGACYCTTCAGTCTGACAGGACAGATTTAAACTGTCAACAAGGCAGAGACCTTCAGTTTGTTTACAGATTTGGATCAAAATGTTCGGAGTTTCAGAACATGAAACTGGACGTTACATCATCGAGCTGCTGAATGAACAATAAAAAACAGAGAAATTATTCATTTATTTAATCCCTGTTGATGGTAAAAGATCAAAGTTGTTCCAGTTTTGTTCTCATGCAGTCTGAATGCTGACTCAGCACTTTTTTCTTTATTTTTATATTTAGAAATTCTTTTCTTTTTTTGTATAGTGTACATTTTGTCGTATTATATTTAACTTGTATAAAAATTAATCCAATTTCATTGTAATGCAAATATAATGACGATAAAGGTGATGCAGATGAGACAGATTTCTAAATAACTTTTCTCGTTTCTGAACTTTGAAAGTTTTTTCCTCAGAGACGTTTAATCTCTGTCGTTAATCCCCATTCTTAATCCCTGTCGTTAATCTCTGTCGTTAATCCCCATTCTTAATCCCTGTCGTTAATCTCTGTCGTTAATCCCCATTCTTAATCCCTGTCGTTAATCTGTCGTTAATCCCCGTCGTTAATCCCCGTTGTTAATCTCTGTCGTTAATCCCCGTCGTTAATCCCCGTTGTTAATCTCTGTCGTTAATCCCCGTCGTTAATCCCCATTGTTAATCTCTGTCGTTAATCTCTGTCGTTAATCCCCTTTGTTAATCCCCATTGTTAATCTCTGTCGTTAATCCCCATTGTTAATCTGTTAATCCCCGTCGTTAATCCCCGTCGTTAATCTCTGTCGTTAATCCCCGTCGTTAATCTCTGTCGTTAATCTCTGAAGTTAATCCCCGTCGTTAATCTCCGTCGTTAATCTCTGTCGTTAATCCCCGTCGTTAATCTCTGCCGTTAATCTCTCCGTGTGTCGAGCCTGTAAATCTGAAGTTCCAGCACCAGAAACATCGGCACAGTTTGAGGTCTTACTGGGCTCGTAGTAGTGTCCCTCCATCACGCCGAGGTGCATGGGCGGCGCCGGTTCTGGAACAGGCCTCTGACGCTGGGACGAGTAGCGCTTGGCCCGGTTGGAGCCGACTCCCATCTCCTCCATGCTGGAGAACTGAGGCGGGCCGCCGCCAATGTGCAGGGGGTTCGGGAGGCCTGTGGACCCAAACAGAAGACAGTCCAGTCCAAGTAGAACACAGAACCAGCAGATAGTACTGGTTCCACTTCAGACCCAAAACAGCAGTTAGTCCAGTTTTAYCTGGAACACAGAACCGGGTCCTGACCGGACCAGGACAAGGTCTGCTGGACTCACCTCTCAGCTCGGAGCGCATGTAGGACGTCGGGCTCTGACTCCAGTTTTGTCTAGCCAGACTGAGTCGAGCCACGTCCTGGTCCAGCTCGGCTAGTCCCGCGCYCCCACCCACCCCTGCCGGCGCCGTGGGACCGGTCCCGTCTCCGGCCCAGGCCTTCCCTCCCCCGCTGCCGGGAGAGGAGGTGTTTCCCCCAGATGCAGACTCCTCCACAGAGGCCTGCTTGCTGCCCAGGTCTGAGGGTCGCGATCGAGTCCTGCGGGCCAGAGAGTAGGACTTGCGCTCCACTGGCCGCTCGGTGGGCGGAGAGGCTTCCTGATTGGCTGCGGCAGACTGAGGGGAGGGGTCAGAGGGGGAGGCAGCCGGTCCAGAGGCAGACCTGTCAGCAGCGCCCCGTTCCTGCCGTCTGGGTGACTGGTACCCCCCTGGCTGAGGTGAGGCAGCTGTAGCTGCAGAGGCTGAGCTCAGATCCTCCTCTCCCGGCCCCCCAGGACTGACTGACACCTCCTCAATGACCACGGCTGGCCCCGCTTTACCTCCAGGACCCCGCGCCCCCCTGCTGGCCAAGCCCCTCTCTCCTGCAGGCTCCAGAGCTTTAGAACCCAGCCGCTCCCTGGGATGGAGCGGAGGTGCGTTTGATTCGTTACTCCTGTACTCCAAATGAGGGGGGGTTGCCTGGTTCGGGTGGGGGGGCCTGCTGCGGGAGGGGGGTGGTCTGGAGGAGTTACTGTTGCGATGAGCGGAAGGAAGAGGAGGGAATGCAGAGGATGAAGAGGAGGGAGGCAGAGATGAAGGTGGAGCAGCTCCTCCTCGGTTCTGCCAGGACCGGGCCGGTCTGGGTCCTCCTCCGCCCCCGTCCCTCCACCGTTTGTCCCTGTTTGGAGAAGAACCGGGCCTGCAGGGACACAACAGGACAGCTCTTTATCTGACAGGTAAAGAAAACTCCTCTGACACACACACACGTGTTTTTAATGAGGGTGCACCATAACCATCAGTCCAATATCAGTGAATTATGACATCATAGTTATCGGTCCAATATCAGTGAATTATGACATCATAGTTATCGGTCCGATATCAGTGAATTATGACATCATAGTTAACGGTACGATATCAGTGAATTATGACATAGTTATCGGTACGATATCAGTGAATTATGACATCATAGTTATCGGTACGATATCAGTGAATTATGACATCATAGTTATCGGTACGATATCAGTGAATTATGACATCATAGTTATCGGTCTGATATCGGTGAATTATGACATCATAGTTATCGGTACGATCTCATAACAAACAGARCCCATAATATATGAACATGTTTGCCAGCATGGTGAAGAGAATGTGTGTTTATTTTTATCATTTTTGGTCAAATCGCTTCCCATCCTGCCTGACCCACGCAACGTTCAAGTGGCGTAGGAAAAAACAACTTTCTCACTAGAACACAAGTTATGGTGCATCCCTAGTTTTTAACGTACAATGAAAGCAGTAAATCTTGAGGTTTGGGTGGAACCGGCTCAGAGAACTCACCGGGGTCGTCTCTGTCGATACGCTCGGTCTCCTTGACCGCCGCCTCCGTTCCTGATGTCGTAACCGTAGATGGCGATGAGCTCCTCGCGGCTCTTGGGCGCCTGCTCCTCCTCTCTGAACTTATCGTGCTCCCACCGGCCCTCGTCCTTCCACAGCTTCCTGTTCCGACCTTTGGGCCTGAGGGGGACACAGATCCTGCAGTTAGACCTGCTCGGCCCTGATCTCTGTCCAGAACTAAACCGACCCGGTGGGGTAGGGTTGGGCGATATTGGCAAAAAAATTAATCACGATTAATTGTGGTATTTAGCCATCAACGATTAATTTGACGATTAATCCTCTGGAGTCCCTGGACGCCATTATGTCCTAGTCACATGACCTATTTAGTGGGAAAGATTTGCTCTTTGTAAAAATCTTTTCCAAATAGTGTCAAAATCAGACTTCAGGCTATACTTCAAATTTTAAATTGTGTAAATAGATAAATAAATTACAGAACTTTTGTTTAAATGTTCGTCATATTTGAATCAGAGAGGAGCACCAAGCAGACTGACCGGGGAAATATCCAGTCAGTCTGACTGGTGGCATTAATCATATTAATCGTCAAGTGCCAAAAATAATCGATTAATGTTTTTCTGACGATTAATTGCAGACGATACGATTATGCCCAACCCTACGGTGGAGTGAGGTGGGCTCACCTCTCCTCCTCCTGAGCGTGGCCTCGAACGTCGTGCTCAAAGAACAGACCCTTCCTGGGGATGTAGGCCGGGTTCTTCCGGTCCTCGTCATCATCGAGGTGCTGGCCCGGTTTTCCTCCCGCCTTCGTCTCAGGATCCTCAGTGGACTCCTGCAGATAATAAGTTCTTATTACTGACAGACCCTCCACAGGTCTGTGAGCAACAGAAAAAAAACAAACAAACAATGCAACAGTTTGCAGTAACCACTTTCYAACAGCTCAGGATCGTATCGTTTAAATCAGTGGTTCCCAAAGTTGGGGTCAGGACCCAAAGTGGGGTCCTGAAACATCAAGGTGGGGTCCTGAAAAGATTTTCTAAATTAATTACATTTTTGCCTTAGTTGCCTAAAATGTATAAATGTAGAATAATAAATATTGTTACTATGCCCATCGTCCAAAAATAGTTGTGGTCACAGATCTCTGCTGTTATTTTGTGGGTCAAAAGGTGAAAAGTTTGGGAACCACTGATTTAAACGATACGATCCTGAGCTGTTAGAAAGTGGTTACTGCAAACTGTTGCATTGTTAGTTTATTTTTTTCTGTTGCTCACAGACCTGAGGGTCTGTCAGTAATAAGTACTTCTTATCTGCAGGAGTCCACTGAGGATCCTGAGACGAAGGCGGGAGGAAAACCGGGCCAGCACCTCGATGATGACGAGGACCGGAAGAACCCGGCCTACATCCCCAGGAAG